AAATACTTGAATTTAATATAGTATTATAATTTAATTAATTTAATCTTCTTCATATTTCTTTGTATACACTGCGCGTTGATATTTATGCAATTTTATTTTGTTAATGTAAAACTGCGCAACAATGTATAAAGGAGCAATATGTATCTCGGAATACATTTGAGTACCAGTAAGAGTAGCCGTTCGCTGCTTTCTCCGAGATTTGATAACCAGTATAGCGGCCTATTCAATGCGGGCCATTCTCCACGTTAATGAATAAGGCGGCGGCGCATGGAGAGCGATAATATGCAAAATACGCGTAATTTCCATTGCAGATCCGGCCACTGCGTCTCGTTGCGCGATCGCGAATAGCTTGTGACGCATACGCGCTCGTTTCGCATGTTGACTTGTCGATGGTATCCACCAACGATGAAGATTAACGTTGGCAAGTGTCGGTACATTATTAGTACTAAACGAGACATCTGCAACATCGAGTGTTATGCGGGAAATTCTGTCGAGTTTAACATTTGTGAAGAGTCAAATGTAGCTATTATTTATAATGAATTTTTTCGATAACTTAGAATCTGTATTAACGAGTTACATTATAGTAACTTTCTCTTGTATGTTTTTTAACAATATGAACGGATATATTGATTTACACTATTGATATAGTTGACGACACAATTTATAGAAACAAATATGAATTCATGCGCGAAATATTTAAGCACTAAGATCCAGTTTAAACCGATAAGGTCTTTTTGTTGAGTAGTCAAAATAAAGAAGGTGATAAAAACGTATGCAATAAACTATTTTGCATTTACACAACTGTTTATATTTTCGAATGTTTATATTATCTACACATAAACATAAAATGCTGTTTACAATACATACTACTTGTTCGAACAGAACAGTTTATTTACTACGATATTTTTTTCTATGCATAATTAATTTTTTTTAGAATTGTCAAAATAACCTAAAAATAAATACTTGAATTTAATATAGTATTATAATTTAATTAATTTAATCTTCTTCATATTTCTTTGTATACACTGCGCGTTGATATTTATGCAATTTTATTTTGTTAATGTAAAACTGCGCAACAATGTATAAAGGAGCAATATGTATCTCGGAATACATTTGAGTACCAGTAAGAGTAGCCGTTCGCTGCTTTCTCCGAGATTTGATAACCAGTATAGCGGCCTATTCAATGCGGGCCATTCTCCACGTTAATGAATAAGGCGGCGGCGCATGGAGAGCGATAATATGCAAAATACGCGTAATTTCCATTGCAGATCCGGCCACTGCGTCTCGTTGCGCGATCGCGAATAGCTTGTGACGCATACGCGCTCGTTTCGCATGTTGACTTGTCGATGGTATCCACCAACGATGAAGATTAACGTTGGCAAGTGTCGGTACATTATTAGTACTAAACGAGACATCTGCAACATCGAGTGTTATGCGGGAAATTCTGTCGAGTTTAACATTTGTGAAGAGTCAAATGTAGCTATTATTTATAATGAATTTTTTCGATAACTTAGAATCTGTATTAACGAGTTACATTATAGTAACTTTCTCTTGTATGTTTTTTAACAATATGAACGGATATATTGATTTACACTATTGATATAGTTGACGACACAATTTATAGAAACAAATATGAATTCATGCGCGAAATATTTAAGCACTAAGATCCAGTTTAAACCGATAAGGTCTTTTTGTTGAGTAGTCAAAATAAAGAAGGTGATAAAAACGTATGCAATAAACTATTTTGCATTTACACAACTGTTTATATTTTCGAATGTTTATATTATCTACACATAAACATAAAATGCTGTTTACAATACATACTACTTGTTCGAACAGAACAGTTTATTTACTACGATATTTTTTTCTATGCATAATTAATTTTTTTTAGAATTGTCAAAATACATAAAAATTGTTTTATTAAATTTAATCCATAAAATTTTAATGACAGTATAAATTATTTTTTCACCTATATAATACAATAAAATAGAAATCAAATATATGCAAATAACTTTTTCTTGATAATTAGTAAATACCAAGTATTATATTTTTGTTCATTTTTTATCTCTCATTTCTTTTACAATATTTTCTGCCCTTTTTCTTATATATATATATATATTTCTGAATAACACAATTTTCAAATAAGCTTGACATTGTACTATTGGATTCTTAGGAAATTGCATGAGCGAGTTTATGGGCTTGATAAAGGGTCGCTACGAGGCAAAAGAAGATGGTTTTTCTGCTGGTGGTGCATCGCTACATTCCATAATGACTCCGCACGGTCCTGATAAACAATGTTTCGAAGCTGCTTCTAAGAGCGGACTGGGGCCAGAACGGATAGCTGATGGTACGCAGGCATTTATGTTCGAAACTTCGTATAATATGGCCGTGACACAATGGGCTAGTAAGCTTTGTAATAAGCAGGACAATGAGTATTACAAATGTTGGCAGAGTTTAGAGAAACATTTTGAGCATACGGATAAGAAAGCGAAAGTTGCGTAATGTAACGATCTTTATTGGAGAGATTAAATGCTAGAGCTTTACAATTTTGAATTTTATCTTGTTGCCATGTATCTTCTTGCTTTTCTCTTGCTTCTTTTTAGTATCACGTAACCACAGAATATAAAGCTCGTTGTGTAATAAATAAAAGCTTATTACTACTTTGCTGTATACATTTCACTGTGATAAAACGTCCACAATGCCAACAAAAATCTGAACGCGTTCGTGAGAAAAGCAATATATATAGTCAGCTCTTAAGATCAATCTTTCATACCCCTTTTTCCTTCTCTAGGTAGAAAAATCACTAAGATCATTAATTTTAGGCGACAGTCTATTTTATTATAGCTTTACGCCATCTTTAAGAAAAGAAAAAGTTATCTTGATGATTTATTTTAACGAAAAGAAAAAACAAGCATCAGAACCTTGTCTTTGATTTTCTCTTGCAATAACGATCACAATTACTTATCAAGATTCTTTTATTATTATTATTATTATTAAAAAAAGTATTAATGTTATTGTTAAGAAATGCACGCTATAATCTTTCTTTTTTCTGATCGTTTCTTTTATGGTGTGTCGTATTCATGAAGATATCGTGCAAAGTTATCTGGTGCGTGTAACTAAGACATTAGTCTTAATTATGAATTCATCAACATTGTGTTCGTACGTTCGAAGAATATTACTGAATGCAAGGAACTTTTAATCGCGCATCTATCTGCTATCAAAGTTGATATGCAATTTGCTGAAATCAATGTAAATCATTCGATTCGCAACAATATTTAATGTTCCAACAATATTGCAGTAGTCACGATGTAATATTACTAGAATGTTTTACGCTGGGAAGTTATGTTAAATTATGCTCACACACACTACTAACTTTTAAAATACTAAAATTTATTTTGTATGGTATAAGTACTATGAAATGTATTTGTATAATACCTTATTATTAGTCTTAGTTATTATGTTTTTAAAGCGTGCCATGTGTATTATAATTGTTGAATGAATAAGTCAAATTTGATCAATTTCATGAAATAAAAATTGGAAAAGTTGACGAAATAATATAAAATTTGCAGTGTATCCTCTAGTAAATAAATAATTTAAAAAATTACAAAACTGGAATTAATTAATTTGACTTTTTTTTGAAACGTTAAAATATTTTTTTTTAAATTAATTAATGAATTGTATTAAAAAATTATATTACAAAAAGCGTAAATGAATTTAAAATGTAATTCACAGTAATCAACTCGTATAATGACAATCAGAATATAATTTAGCTGATAATATCCGAGAGTTTATTAAAAATTATAATATTATTGCGTAACTTTGACTATTATTATCAGTGTAATCATTATTATGGAAATGGTATAATTCTTCGAAATAAGATGTATTCTTTTGAATTAATTTTTTTATAATTTAAATAGTTTTAACTAAATATTAAAATACATTATACATTTAAATTTAATGTAAAAAAAGACCAAAAAAATTATATAGTAAATGCATATGTATGTATATAAAATTATTCTACAATTTAATCTTGATTTGACTCTCACGTCGCCCTTTTTATTGTTTATGATTATTGTTTATATAGAGAGTCCTTGTTATTTTTTCAATTTAATGTTTCTCAATTTAAAATTACTCTTGTTTTTGTTAATTTAAATTTTTATTTGATGTGTTTAAATATTTAGTTAAAAATAAGAAAAATAATTATTAATAAATACGGAATTTTTGTTAAACAGACGAAGTATTCAATTTTAAAAGAAAAAAAGTTTTTTTTTGTAAATGATTTCACTGTAAAATTTATTTAAAAATTGATACATTAACTTTAAATATTATAATTTATAAAAATATTTTGACTTAAAATTGCAGCACATTGCATGTAATGCAATTTTAAGAAATTCATAATTTGCGCAATAAGATCATAAATCTAAGATCTGATCTACATATTTAAGATCTGATATCCGTCTAAACGTTTATGGAATCATTCATGGCACTAAAGACAAATATGAATCATATTATTTTATAGTGTGTTCTGCGTGCATAATTTTATTGTTTTAAACAAATGTTTTATACTTCTGCAATAAAATTTATAAATTGAAAAATACTTTTCTCTCTTCTTCTCTTCTTTTGTCTTAAATTTCAAGTTTAATTTCCCCTCACTTTAAATGCTATAATATCGTTTTAATACACTTTTGTTTTTTATCTTATCAAAATATCAGAAAATTTTTTTATCTTTCTTTCAGCAATTAAGTTTCTGTTTAATCTGTGTTGTCTTAATCTGTGCTTGCGTACTAAAAATATATATATAACATATTTCAAGATCAAAAAAGACGTATTGATTCGTTAGTATTTTTTTAATCAATACCGTTCGATGCTGGATGACTCAAATGACTCGAGTCATCGATGATTCGTCTTGTAGAGACCGTTCTTGTCGACGACAAGCAATGCAAGCAGTACCTGGTCCTCCCAGCAGAGCCTTCCTCGCGTCGATGCGCAGTTTGCGTCGCTTTGCGACCTCGTGTCCGAGAAAAGTGATTGTTGACGTCGTCCCGCAGTCGCACGTAGTATATTGCGTCGTTTTCAACGTAGAGCGCATACTATTCGGAGCTGTGGTATGGTAATTAATGTCACAATGAACATTCGAGTTACCGTCGCGATTCCGCCGCGCGGTTGACATGTCGAGGTCGACGACACATGCCCACCGAATGTTGCGTACCATCGAGTGAGCGGGCAATAACCCAGAAGATATGCGGCCGACAATTCGCAACGGCTTTCTCGCCGCTGTTATTCTATGGTCCTTAATTGGACTCTCGGTTTCACATTGTTATTCAGAATACTGTCAGAAATCGGTAAGTATCACTTCGTTCCGATCACCTGTTCGCAGATTCCAGTTGTTCCTTCGAAGTGTCACTTCGGTCTTGTATACAGGGTGTCTCGAGTATTACGTGCTTTCTTTGTATTCGCAGATAAATTTATTTGTCAATAATTATATTCGTGTTTATATTCTAGATAAAAATTCTAGATGAAAATAAAATTGAAGATATAAGCTTTTTTTTTTATTGTTTCATTACATTGCTCTTTTCAATTTAGTTTCAGATGTCATTGTGTTACTTTTGGAGTGACGTATATTACGTTATATGTACAATAACAACAGGTTATACATAGGATGTTTCTTTTCTCGCGTATTTTTTTGACATTAATTTTTTAAATTTATATGTAGATTATGATTTTTCTTTGATGAAAATATTGAGATAATAATTTTCGAATTATAGATTAGATAGTCAAAAAGAAAGCTAATTAAATGCTTTTTGTTAACTAAATCTTAAGAAACTAAACAGATTGCAAAATTACATTTGTCAGCTAATTTTTAGACGAAATTTTTAACAAAATTGTAATTTAAGACGAAATCACGAAGAAGCATGATGAGTTTTTAAAATTCCAATTTGAAGCTTATTCATGAAGAGATATAATGCCAAGAATTGGAAAATGACTATAGATGATGTTGCTGTTAAGAATCGATATAAGCCGATTTATTAGACGGAAATTAATTAGACTAATATCTATTAAAAAGCAGTGAAATAAGTTACAGTCTTGTATAATTTTCGTGAAAAAAAAAAAGTTATTTATCTAAAGTAGAATACAGAGTCATAATAATAAAACGTCAATGCCATTTATAAGTAAACTTACAAAAGATAAATGAAATCATGATGACGTCTTTGATGATGATATCATTATAACTTTTAATTCTATCTAGGTACAGTCCGTTAAAGCGTGACTGATATAACTTTCGACATATATCTTTCGTGTCTTATCGCGGTTTGTCAGAAACGGTATTTGTTGTTTCTCACCGTTTTCTTTTATTTGTTTACAAACGATTTAGGCCTGATTGTACCAACGTTACTTTGATTTTAAGCGAGAAGCCTATCTCGTTTTAAAGTCGAAGAAAGGGAGACAAAGGTAGACAGTTTTAAGTCTTACTTAAAATCACGTTGGTGCAATCGGGCTTTTTTTTGTAGTCGTTGTTTCTTATCTTTTCCATCCTTTCGAGTGTATATAAAGAAAAATAGTTTCAAATCTTTTAACGTACACGACATTCGTCGTTGAGTATGTAATTTTCTAGTAAAATCGAACAAGAATTATAATCCTCTGTACATAATAATATAGAAAAGAATCTTTCGTCTCTTCAGAAATGTTTGATGTAACAATTTCCAAATAAAAATTTACACAAATTTCATGCCCTAAAAAATGCCGATAATAATTAACGATGACAGTAAATTGACGATTTATTAATATAAAAGCGTTGTAGTAAAAAGTATACCGATTGTATAGCATTCATATAATTTTTTCATTTTTTTTACAATAAATAGTTTTAAAATTACAGTTTCTTATTAAACAGACGTGTGTGTGGATATGATTGATCTTTCGATTATTATTCATGATTGTAGGCAAATACATAACGAAAATCAATAAATAATGAAATACTGATTTTCCGCATTATGTAAGTAATTGATAATAAAAGCTGAAACAAAAGATTATCTTTAGCTGTGTGTCATTCGATATAATCTTTTTCTTCATCTTCAGCTGACTGATTATTAATATCACATGCAAACAATCGCAAGATTTCCTATTTACAATAAATTTATTCCTTCTTTTCAGGATAACTTAACACAGGATGTCAAATGTATCCTAACGTCAGTACAAAGAGGAGAAGGTAGGAAGATAATCTAATTTGGGAGAATATTTCTCAGACTCGTTAAATACTACATAATTTTTTAGATTGCGCGAAGCTAGTATTTGATATTGGAAAGTCGTTGAAACGGGATGGTATCGCAATTTTTACGTTGCACGCGTATGTGAATAAAAATTTGAAAAAAATTGATGATTCCCAGAAGGCGACTGCGTTCAACTTGTCGATTTCGGATATCAATTTTCATAGTAAGGAGACATCAATTACTCGCGATATTTTATAATACACTCGAAATAAGTATATCTCCAATATCTCTTGTTGCCATTTATTGAAATTCTATTTGAAATAGGGTTGATTATGCGTTATCAAAACATCATAGAGAGTTCAGAAAACGCATGCAGGCACATAGAATTATACGGGAACGACAGTCACCCAGCGCCTAAGCACTTATACGTGTCATGTCCGTTCTCTGATGCTGCATACGAAGGATCACCGTATCGTTTGGAGTATATCGCGACCGGGGAAGATTTTGTGTACAACAGAAAATACGTATTCTATGTGCCGTATCATGAATTTATTGGTAGGTTTATCTCCCTTTCCGGCTTTGTATCTTTTTGTAACTATCCTCGAATCCCTTCCAGAGAATAGTGTCCAGATCGAGGAGTTTACGCCCTTCATATACATTGACATTTCTGATCGATCAAACGCGGCGTTGTATATACAACCGCTCCCGTTGACGTACAACGTGACGGAATACAAGGTGTGGCTGATTAGTAACGATACGAAGTCGACGGTCACCACGATCGTCCCCGCCAACAAAGACCACGTACATGTACGGCTCAACCTCGTGGCACCAGACGGCGTCTATTATGTCAAAGTCGCGGCCTTGCATCCCGAATGCGGCGAGCACGGATGTGCAAACAGCACATCGCCTTATGTATACATAAGTAAATGCGATTTAGCTCAGTTTTTTTCTCATATCTCTCTCTTGCCGTGCAAACGTTTTTGCAGTACCTATTTAATGTAAATTGGAGTCGTTAATATTTGACGTGTTGTTTTAGTGGATTAAATGATTCAAAAGATATTACAAAATTTATGTAGTTTCCTTAATTATTCTAAATGAAGGATTTATACATAATTTAACAAATTTTTTAGTTTTTTTTCAGGAACGGAACGGCGCGATCGTATCTATTTATTTTCAAGATATTTATAATTCTCTAAAAATTGTCTGGATAAAAATTATCTCCGTTTGCACGGTAAGGGTTAAGAGCGAAATAACTAAAATACAGAGAGAAATTGAGAGTCAGTGCGGTAAGCAACGCGTAAATTATTACATAATTATAGCTCAATTATATAGCTGTGAAAATTACATTTAAGTTTAAAAGCGTTTCGTTTGAAATAGAAAATGTAAGTAAACCTTTATTTCACGGCGATTGATAGAAAAAAATTTTAATGTTTCTTACCTACAATTTAGAATTTTATAATACTAATCGTACGTGTGTATATAGATTGTACAATCATCCAAAATTTTTTACGGTGGATCCAAATGATTTATTACTGCAATCGAGGATTAAAAACGAAATATATTCTCTCCTAGAAGTAATTATATAATTAATAAACAAAAGTCAGGCTTATTATTACGTCAATGTAATTATTTCCAGCGAATTATATATTGTCGTTTTTAAAATAATTTCCATTGTTTATCGTGTTGATTCTCAATTGCCCTTTTTATTTCAATTTTTGTTCGTAATTTGTAAAAGTTTTTATTTATTTTTTTTCTTATTTCTGGTTCTTTCCATCAACGCTGCTAATTCCGTATTGTCACAGAACACGCGTCTCATCAACTGTTAATTATGATAATCAGCTTAGTATGGATACCACCGGTATTGTTATACGCATCTTATCACGCATATAAGCTGTATAGAAAGAAAGGTGAGAATTTTATCAATTCTATTTTCTTTCCGGAATACTAACTCGTTTGCTTTGACAATTGTTTTCTTTTTTAAATATAGTTTTGAAAAGAGTAGCGATGAAGCCGAACTGCTTGCTAGTGTATTCACCGACGCATCCGTCGCACGTGAATGTAATGGTGGAGTTAACAAAATATTTACGATATTGTAATATTAATGCAATGATTGACGTGTTTGATATTGCAGAAACTGCCAGCAAAGTGAGTAATCGAACAAATTAACGATGTAATATATTACGGCAATGGCTTTCGAAGAGATATAGAAATCCAGAATTCGATAATACAAATTTGATTGATTTACCATACAATATGCTTACTTGGGCAAGAAACAAAAAAACCGATACTTGATGCTCAATAATTCATAATGATAAATATATTTATTTCTCGTTACGATCAATTTTTACATATTAAGAAGTGTGAATGTCATTATCTATATGTATAAATGATTGCGCACTAAGTACCGCATTTATTTATTTTTATTGTCTTTGCGAACGTTTCCTTTATCGTTAATTTTAAAGTCTTAATATTTTGTTTCTTGTTTATAATATATGAATTTTTACGAACGTGTGATGTTCAGCGAAATAATCGTATAATGCGATCACAGGATCCAGGACTCTGGTGTAATACCGCTTTTGAGACAGCGGATGTTATACTGGTCGTGACATCCCCGCCGACATCCGCAAAATTCGATGCGACAATCATTTATCGAAACGTAGACAACCACCTGTTGCGGTTACTGAAGGAGAACTATCCTCGGAGAAATAAGAGGTATTATGCGATACATCTACCGTATTGCAAGTCGGATCACATACCAGAGGAGGCACGACTTTTCAAGAAGTTCCGTATACCCGAGGATCTAGCTAGACTCGTGAAAACGATCCACGATATCGCTTGTCTGCGATTCCTTACACCATCTGATCGAGAGCTGCTTGAGAGCATCAAATTTGCCACAGCAAAAATATCCGAAGATGAGACCTCGAGCGTGATAAAGAATACCGAGGAGACCGGTTAGTGATGTTATCGCAGATACTCGATTTTAATTGTCATAGCAACATTTTGCTTCATTCTCTTCCGTGTACTTTTTCTCGATTCCTATATCAGCATAATTTTTTTGTATTTAATAAAGATACCTTTATTATTATTGTATCAGTAATTTTATATTGGTTGCAATTTCATTATATCACTTTGAATTTTTTTTAGACAATTTGTTAATACCAATCATTGTACAAGAGACTGCTAATTGCAACACCGAACAATCCAACGAGATTCCTAGGCCTGATACGCCAGACAGCGATGTCATACCTCAGTCTTTCACAACACGTATCGACGAGCTCAATTTACTCGGTGAGACTGAAGATGAGAAGTCTTTCGACATTAATTCCACAAGAGACGATTGCGAGTTTCGTATAGATAAATTAAATTTGTGATTTTTTATATAAGTATGCATATGAATAGTTTTTAGTAGAGTATTTTCTTATCATTTTTTTTTATTAATTTTGTATGCGACTAGACGAGACATAAAGAATATTTTGTTTACCAATTTTATCGACATTATCTTTAATAATGTTCTTGGAATTCAATATATAATTAAATTATATATCTATATAATTAAATTGTAATTTGATAAAACCTTATTTTGTTATATATAACCATCATTAATTATATATAACCATAATATATAACCATCTTTATTACGATTTATATTGTATACCAAATTTATAAAAAAATTTTTTTTTAATATAAAACGGAAACATATACACGTTAAATAAATTTTTTGTAATGCTTAACGATAATTATATGAGAAATTTTACTTGATCCTTACTTCCTTTTTCCTTGTCATTTCTTTTATCATCTTCTTCCACACAACATTTTTTTAACTTCGAGAAGTACATTATTGTAACAGAGGGCAAGCACTATTGAGAATCAGGTAAGAATAATACAAGGAAATACTCTGTTTGGAAGCGTCTTTTATATGTTTTTGTGTTATATCAATTACAAGAAAATAATATGGCACAATATTAATCGGCTCGTAACGCGCGTGCTTCAAATCGTTGTCGTTAATGCCCCAGAGAGTTCAAAAAGGAAACAGGAAAAAACATCGAACGTGATACTAGTCGAAATCATACGCAGTCGTGTTACAAAACCCGTATGATAAATAACTAGACTAATCGTGGGTGGAATGTTGCATCTTATATGTAAATACAAAAGGGACGATTCCGTTCCTTGTGAGGTACGGCGAAACACAGTCTTCTTCGGATATGACGTCGCGCCAACCGGAATCCACACACGCGTATCGTAAAAAATACTACTTTTATTCGGTCGTATCACCTCGGTCTGCGTGCAATCTGCTGCTTCGTTATGTCGGACACACGAAAGCCACAAAAGCTAGTGCGACAATAGAAGGTATTTCGTTACGAAAGGAAGCGTGATTAAGTTTCATGTTGAATAGAGTGCCGTACAATTTCACAACCACGGATCTATCTATCAAGAAAGATTTGACGGAAGACCAAATCTGCAACTTCTCAAATTTGAACGCTGTACATCGCTCGGTAAATTACGAATGAACATTTTTTTATTAACTGCGTGAAAATGTTTTCTCAACTTATTTGCACTTATTGAAGCTTGTATTTGTAACAGAAACCGCTAATGCTAGATAAGAAATAACTTATGGCCCTTAGTTTGGAAAGTTTGACGTTCTCAATGAGCAACTATTTTCAAACTTCATCACAGTTACGTGGTGTGACAGAAAATTTTTAAATGCTGAAAATACGATGATTTTTTTACGAAATCGCACGAATAATTGTAATATGTAACTATTATTATTAATAGTATTAAAAGCGACCTTACCAATGATGATCGACAAATAGCCGTATGAGTTTAAAACACGGCAAATTAATTATTAATTTATACATATTTGGTTTAGCAACCACTTTGCGCGGTATAGTTTACCCCTAACTTTCTATAGAGCATTTCGTTCGATGAAAAATTCTTTCAGGAATTCTTTCTACGATACAATTCAAATCGCGGTTTATTCAACTCGGAGTTAATATTTGCTTTTACAAACGCAAATATGCATTCATCCAGTACATTACATATGTCATCGTCGTTCTGCGCAATTCCTATAAATTGCCATAAAGAATGGCGTTTCTCATCCCACGCGAATCATTCGCTTCCAATTGCTCTCACACAATTTTCTCTCACACTTCCTTGTTAAATAAATATTCTTCTCTTTCTCGCATATAATTTGCGATTGACAATTGCTCCCTCAATCAGTTACCTTTACTTTCTTTCAGCCATATTCGTTTTAAGACTAGGAAAACTCGACGGGGTTGAGAAAACTGACGTGTTTCCCTATTTTGGATTTTTCTCATTTGTCAAATGTTCAACGTCAGATTACGTCGATCAGTTCGTCACGTTATTGTCAGTCTTTTCGTCGTCGTCCAAACTCCTAAACACCAGAAGATCCTCCGTCTCCGACGATTTCTTTCCCTGCATATCAATGTAGGAATGAGGACGTTCGTTAGGAGGCGTCCTCAGATCGTTCTCGCTATTGCTGATCAGGCTGGTATTTCTCAACTTTATCGGGCTTTCGTAATGATTGGCTTTCAAGCTCGGAGGTCGTTCGTTTACATAAGGCGACTTCATAGGTTCATCGGGGAAAGATGCTATGGATGGCTGCCAGAGCGCCTGCAGCTTATCTATTTTGTCGCATTTTGTAACTGGCTCAGAAGATATTCGGCCGAGATAGTTGACGGTATCTGTCCTTAGAATCCCGTTGACAGTTTCGTTATCAACCTGATCGCTACCAGAACCTGCAAAAGATTTGATAAGAGATCCTTTAACCAAAGCATGAACTGGATCTATTGAATCCATCAGATCTTTCGAAGTATGTAAAAAATATGGGTCCAAAGATCAAAAAGATGATAAAAATGTTTTCAGATTAATGAAGATTAAATGAGTTTCTAATAATTATATCAATTAAAATGTAATTTTATTAGCTTTCGAAAAATAAGAGTCCATGACGATAGAAGTGTAACATATTTTTAGAACAGTAGTTAAATTAAAGATAATTTGAAATCATATTATCTGAAATCGTTAAACTATTGATAATGATTGAATGAGGTCGAATGTAGTGACATTAATAGTTTAAGATTCTATTGTAGAACCCAGAAATTTGTCACCTCTGAATTAATTAAAAATATCAAAGGTGATTGCAATTATTTATAGACAGTGATATTTCAAATAAACTTATTCTTTTATTTACCATTCGCGCTGTCCAAAGCTTGTAGAGATGCAAAGTAGGCTTGATTATGGACGGTACGTGGATTAAGATCGAGATATTCGACACCATCCTCCAGCATACGTTCCCAATGACTAGTTAGTTCCTTGAACGACGGTCGCATACCGGGCTCTTGATGCCAACACGACACCATCAACTTGTACCTGAACAAATATCACTTGTTACAATCAAAACGAAGATGTTTTCTCAGACGAGGTTGTAAAAGATAGGAAATGACTTTCATCTTCCGCTTGCGCGCAAAAGAGAATGTACTTTTACGACGAACTTTATGACGAGCAGAAATAGTTGACCTATTTTATTTTAACTGTTGACACTTTTCCAATGCTGCTTTAAAGGTATACAACTTTTGGCAGTGCAGTAGTTTAATTGAAAAGAATGTGGTCACACCTCACGTTCAAAAATTCAGTCATATCTCTGTTTATTATTACTATATATTTATATCTCCTATCCCTTTACTTCCCTTGTTTTGCTGCTATGTTATTAATTTAGTAATTTGTATATACACAACATATGTACTGAGGCTGACTTGGCAGTATAGCGATCTAATCTTCACGGAAGATGAATGTTTCACATATGATATGAAGTCACGCTAATATAATCATGAAAATTTCCTATGATAATTACGCTCGTAATTATGAGCATCATGTAAGTTACACGCAGTTCTAAGCCCTTTGATTTTATCTGCGTTAGTTAATCGCCTGAAATACATAACCCTGCTGGTCTGTTTCCGGGTCTACTTGACTCAAAATATAATTTATGTTTTTACTTATATTTTATTTAAAAACTTTTTTCTGGTATTTAATGATTTTATTTATTAATAACGTAAGATCTTTTTTGTAATTTTTTGAGTTTTTTAATATTGATGCAAGTAATATTATCATAACACTTTTGAACAGACAGCAGGATTAACTTTCAATTATACATAGAACTTGGAAAAAGCTGAGTTTCAATGGACATAAATTACAATTTTCTAAAAAGACAATTAGAAAGAATAGTAGGAAAAAGAAAAAGAAAAAGAGTGATACGAAAGATAATGATAAAGAATAATTTTAATATAGATATACAAAGAGACACAACTATGAAAAGAAATAATTATGTTGAAGGCGGATTAGCAGAAGTAATTTTTATGTAAAAGACCATTACAAGAGGCGGATTTTATTTAATAAATGTCATTAAATTTTTTTTTCTAAGCGGATTTAAAATTGACGAGCCATAAGATTAATGAATGTTTGACGCTCTAAATCACCGAAGAGAATTAAGCACTTACAACTGTTGCGAGCAATTAGACGGCTTCTCCATACGGTAGCCGGCCTTTAGTAGATTATAGAGATTATGTACGTCGACTCCAGGATACGGAGATGCTCCTAACGTGACCAACTCCCACAGGAGCACGCCGAAGCTCCAAACGTCCGATTTGCTGGTATACACATGGTCGGCCAGGGATTCCGGCGCCATCCATTTTACGGGCACTGCAGGCAGGAACCGTAAAACCTTGGATAACGCGAAGTAACAGGCGGGCTCGTGCGAGTCATTAAAGGTGTTTTTCTCGCGAATACGCCCGAAAGAGTTACGACCGGATTTACTCCGTCGTGGTTGGAATTAGGATCGTTAGCATTAAACATGTTAAAATATTGTCCGCGGATCTCAAAATTGCACTTTTCGATACTAAATTACGACACTTTTTGTGAAAAAATTTAGATTTATTATTGTAATGTGTAACAAAAATAAGATTATAATTTATAAGATTTATTTAATACTTTCGTGTAATATACATTATATTTGTAAGTTGTAATTTTCATTATCGGGAATGAATTTAATTAATGATTGATTCAAATTTTAAAATTTGTTGCTATAATTTGCTTTTCAATAATGAGAGAATATAACGGAAAGACTATTTTGAATCAAAGTACAGATTATTAATTAATAGATAATTTTACCTCGTCCTTTGCTTCGCTTCAAATACGCATCATCCTCATATACATCACGAGTTAGACCAAAGTCCGAGATCTTACAGACCCTACCGGTTGCGAGCAAAACATTTCTCGCCGCAAGATCCCGATGCACCAACTGCAGTGCGGAGGAAACTTTGATTAATTGCTAATAACTTGACCAAGTCCCGTTGAGGCATTTCACGACTTTGACCAGAAAGTTGCAATCACATGATCTTAAATTTCATTAACCAAGTTGAAAGAAAAGTCAATTTGAATACTGT